CGTTTGTTTGGAATAAACAGATGGAAGAGCTGGTGTTTACCAATGAACAGCAGTGCGTTCTTACATGACAAAGCAGAAAAATAATAAACTAATGCTCACATGAAACTTAGATGGCCATCACAAGAAAAGTCCAAAAAAGAAACAAGATTTTGCACTGTCGGCATTCACAGATTTAGAATTGCCCCAGGGATCTCTGGGAAGTGCAAAAAAAATGCCACGGAATCATGGACTACTTCATTACTGAAGATTGTCAAACAATGACAATCAATAACTTTAAAAAAGGGACTTGTGGATTACACTGTAATCAAAAACCTGAATTGAATCAGATCACTATTTACTTTGGGATAGAAACTGACATTGTAGAAATTACATGGTGACTTTGGAGAAGCAAGGAGAAATGAAATAAAGATTAAAGATTAAAGTTTGTCATTTATTTCTTTTAAAATCAACACATTAATGGTGCATAACATAGCCTCAACTGATATTCACTAGTTCAGCTGATCATTTCCAAACTCTCTGACCCTACAGAAGTGGTCACCGCTGTCTCTGGACTGCTCGTCCCAATACCAAATTTTCAGGCCTACAACACATGGTATGAATCCACATTGATCCAGATGGGTCAGCGTCTGTGATCAGACCCTCTTTCCTGACCTGGGTCAGATTGCATGTTCGGAAACACTCGGGCTATTGGTCAGCAGGTTGGGAATATAATTAAAATGTCACAATGTTTGAACATTTTTTACTTCTGACTTCCTCTTAAAAAAAGCTAAAAAAGATAGAGCGTGGGGCAAGTAATGAGAAAAACCCAACATGTCGGGGGAGGAAGTGAAACTGAAAAGTTAACATGTTAATGTTGTAAAATCTGTTGTTTATTGTGGAGATGTTGAGAACTTCTGTCGGGAGTGCGTCTGTGAATGTTGACGGGATTAAACTGTGACAGCAGTCTCCACATGAATGGGATCAACGGCAGGTCAAAAGCAACCATTAGGTTGACCCAGGCTCATAACACACATGTCTTGATAGTCAAAAGAAAGTATTACCTTCCACTGCCTCCCTTCTCTCTGTGCTCTGTTCAACACACACACACACACACACACACACCACACGCACGCACACACACAACACACAGCACTCTCCCCCTTCTCTACTCTCTCCATCTCTGTCTTGTTTGTCTACCTGTTCGATTGCCACCATCCTAGATTTTAAACCTGCACTTGAGCTTTCAACTACCAGTTGTTTGTTGTGCGGCCTGGTTCCTGGCTACTCGCTGCTGTACTCTCCAGGGCATCTACGCTCACAGTCTCTGTTTGTCTGAGCGCTGTCAGCTCAACATGGCCTCCACACACCCTTGCCAACACACCAAACATACACATTGATTTCTTTCATGTGTGTATGGTGTTGTGTTGTGTGTGTCGCTGTTGTGCTGTGTGTGAGTGTGTTTGTCTGTGCTGTCTGTGCTTGGAATCCTTCACCAGGACAGGAAACACAGGCACAAACACTGAATCACAAAGCGCAGGCCCAGTTGTTAGTTTTGTGTACCCTGTTGTGCTAGCAGCGCAGCCTTAAATTGAGTACAAACTCACAACAAACCTGGCTACTAAGGCTGACACGTAGAATTTTCTTGAGAACTGTAATTCCAGCTTTATGCATCATTCCTTAAATCGCAGAAAATGCCCTCAGCTGCTGTAAGTGAAGCAATCATCATCTGTCGGCCACAGGGCAGGTGTGAGTGAGCCGAGGAGTTGAGTGAAGCCAGGACATTTTAACTGGTCATTTCTAAAGGTGGCAGTACCTGTACAGTCACACAGTGGCTCACATATCAGGCCAACAAATATGCCGGTCCTCAGGTTGGCGGCCTGCTGGCTGCTCTCACACATGCAAATGAGCCTCAGCCAATAAATGAGATTTCTTTTTTAGGAGCTCGATAATTAGATTTTTCCCTTCTCTCTAAGGCTGCGAGAACGACAGAGGCAGACAAAGGGAGCGCGGAAGACTTCTTACAGTGTCTTGACTTCTCTGCTTGGTCTGCGTGAGACAACCCCCCCCCACACCACCCTTCCTCCTGCCCCCTCACCTCACCCCCATGCTCCCCACCCCTTCCCCATATATTCTTTCTTTTCTTATATATATAAACTAGTAGGGAAGGATCTTGAGTGGCAGCAAATAAGGAAACTCTGAGATCTATATCTGCGTTTTGATGGTTAGTTCAGAGAATGGTCTCTGCTCTCTTGCTGGATGTGTGAGATGGTATCAATCCACTTTTGTGTGCTTGTGTGTTGCACGTGGTGTGCCGCGTGCCTGTGTGTGTTGCCACTACTGTCATTGTGTCACAATTTCAGGAGACCTTGACAATAGCTCAAGTCTCTAGGGACAGGTCAATTTGCAGGAGAAATTGATTGCTGTGCCAACAAAACTTGCGAGCTACATTGCTTGAAAAGCACAATACTCAAGACCTCATTCATTTTAGGAGTCTAGATGACTTCAAGATCAAAGAGAGCGTTTTTAATTTGACACTAGAAACAAGTGGCATCATTTTATGACAGAGAAATAATACTTAATAATGTTTGGTTAGATTAAATAATAACAGTTGAATTAAACGGTCTTGGCAAATTTGGAGAAAATTGCCATTATTGATGGATATGAACAAAATTGGTTATGCTTCTGATCTTGTTGTTCTGTCCACTCACAATACATACAGGGTAGATTTTTTAATGTTGTGTTTACTCAAATATTGAATGTTTGCAAAAAACAAAAATTGGGGATTTAGTAATCAAAGAGATGCAAAAAATCATGCAACAACCAGATGATCACAGGGTGATTACAATCCTGTGCCGGTTCAGAAAGTCTATCCGTGCGCAATAATGTTCTTATTCAGCAGCTTTACTGCTAAACGTGCAGAAAGGCGCACTGACAAGGCGTTGCAGAAATATGTGGCTGAACCCAGGAGCTCCTAGGCGTGAATTAGCTGTGGCATCTTGAAAA